ATGCTTATAATTTTACATTGAACTGTGTTTATTGAGCGGTAAAACTATTCAATCATTTATATAAATCGAACAGCTATTCACTAGACTAGAAAAATGACATAATATAAGTATTACAATGCACATTGGAAACAACAAAAGCTTTTTGCATTCAAAATTGATATCTTTCTTTTATTCCGGCTTCTCTTTTTTCAAGATGTCAGTCGATAACATCACATTGGAGAGTATAAATAAGGGAGATAACTAGCTTGATAACCTTGATACTACAATACGAAAACAATGAACATTTAACGCAACGAGAAAAGTAAATAATACAGCAGGCACCCCTATGAAAAACGTTTTCATTGAAAGTAAAATATATATTGCAAAGCAATAAAACCTTAATTCATCAGGTGAAATGTTACTGCAATTATTTCATAATTTTTATGAGTTCTAAGTGCAGTTTTGATTTTAAGATACAGAAATTGAAAGGTTTTTTGTGCAAAGCGTCACAATTTACAATTACAGTTCGGTGTGATCAGGGTAATTATCAATTAACTGACGAATTTGACAACTTTATCGTTAGACAAGGACGTCCATAACTATAAAATAAAAAAGAGCATACCTAAAGCATGTAACATCATAAGGCGACCAAATTTATGTAGAAATCGAATATGATTTTATGCTTTCTCATAATCAACTGATCAATAAAAAATGATGTATCATAATATGACAAAAAATGAGAACATGTAAATATTCTTTATGCGAGGGAGGGTTTTAGTCATTACATAATTTCTAGCTGCACATAACAAATATATTGCTCCTTGATTCAAGATTCCCGTTCACCTTTTTATGTTCTTTTTAAGGTAGAAATGTATGAAAACACCAAGGATGCGAACAGAAACTATTTTTGTTTTGCCTCAATACTTGATAGCCTCGACGAATGTATTGTTAAATCCAATTTTGTTGTCCATTATAAAAAAAATTATTCGTTAGTCCTATGTGACTGGAAAAATAAAGGATATAATTTACATTAATAAAAGATTTTTTGTGGAATCAACCCTATCCAAACTAACCCTAACGTCTACTTTTGAAGACAAACAGAAAAAAAATATATAAAAGGGAATCTATTTAACCTTGTATGGTTTAGGTCTACTTGATTTATTTTATATTATGAAGACACTGAATTTGGAAAGTTCTTTTAAAAGAACTCATTGTTTTCCTCTTCTTACTTCTTTCAAAATAAAAATAATATATGTCTTTTACAAATAAATTAATATAAATGCAAAAGAGTTTGTCTAAGACATTGAATTAGAAAAGAAAATGTAGTTGACGGGAAAGTACTAAGATAATAAAATGTAATGCAAATGCGACGATATAATAGTTAGGTTGCTGTCTCACTGACGTATACACAACCTTTTCTTCAATTCATACAGAATTTGAAAGCTAAAGCTTTCATCATACTGAAATGAACCGTCCCTTTAAACATCATCTTATTTTACTATTCACCACGATTGGCTGCCATTTAATCCAACGAAAGTTTAAATGTCTATCAGATTAAGACTAAAAACATAAGTAATTGCAAGGTCGATAAAAAAGTAAAAGAAACAAAAATATCGTGACGAACGTAATTAAACGAGATTACACGCATTTGAATGTCAAATTCCGTAAGTTCAAAGGTTATGACAGCTTTTCGTGTAACAGTTGGTAAATTTAACACGGAAGACACGACATACGTATGGTGTCAAACTGTAATTTGAACTCAAGGTGCAACCATGGCTCAAGTTTCTTAATATTTCTTGTAATTGCCGTGTAATTGAACTATGTAAACAATTTTGCTCTTTTTCTAAACTATATTTAGTTCATTATGTCGGAGTAATTGAAAATAAACTATCCAATGAAAGATGCTACAAAAAAATTACCATATTTACCGTATTTTTTGGAAGAATTTATTTTATCGTTCAGAATTTCCAAATTTAAATATATAAAACCATCAATTCATTTAATTTCCTGCTTTGGTCGACTTAACTATTAAACGTTCATAATATTTCCCTGTTTTTCAGTTATAAACATCTATAAGGGTATTAATCATTTTATACATTTTTGGTACTTTTGAATGGTTTCTAATAATTTACTTAAGTACTGTTTTCATTACAGTTTCATTTCAGTAACTGAAACTAAGTTTGCAACATAATATATATTGACATATAATTTGTTGAATATCTAGATTATGAGAATTACAGTTTTCAGAGGTTTTTCTTTGGTAACTGATTCATACAAATTTTTATACAAATTTATAATTTGAATTATAATAACATAAATAAGTAATAACAAAAATACCGAACTTCAAGGTAAATTTAAAAAAAGGGGGAAGTCCATAAAAACTGACAAAATCAAATGTTAGAGTTTATCAACCAATGAAACGAATGGAAAACAAATGTCATATCCTGACTTGGTACAGGCATTTGCCGAAGAAAGTGGTTGGTTAAACTTGGTTTTATAGCTAGCTAAACCTCTCTCTTGTATATCAGTTGTTTATAGTTCCGTTATATTGACAAAATTGTGTGAGCAACCCAAACAAACATATTACTTGGTTAAATGTGAGATAATTTACTGTACCTTGATGAGAAATTCATAGGATGAAATGCATTTTCTTGGTTCATTGGATGGATCTTTTAGGTTTTTACTAAACAATATAGACAAATTTTAAAAAGGAGGACATTTGATTAGCGATTAGCTAAACGCCGCTACATGTCTATGGGACTAGTCATAATAATAATAAATAATTATGATAATAATAAACCATTAAAAAATAAAAATAATAATAATAATAATAATTCTTTATTCATAGAAGGGTAATACAGTTAGTAATACAACTAATTTTACCTGAGGCCCTGTAGTTATAGTTCTGTATATCTGTTAGTTTTTGTTCTGTAAAGAAATTGGTATGTGCCTGTCCCAAGTCAGGAGCCTGTAGTTCAGTGGTTGTCGTTGGTACATGTCTGTTATATTTAGCTTTTTGTAAATTGTTTTGTTTAACATTAATAATATTAGGCCGTTAGTCATATCGTTTGAATTTTTTCATTTCGGGGCCTTTTATAACCGACTATACTGTATGTGTTTTTCTACACATTGTTGAAGGCCGTACGGTTACCTATAGTTGCTTAAATCCACTTTATTGAACTTTGGTGGATAGTTATCTCGTTGGCAATCATATCTCATCTCCTTATTTTCAGTATGGTATTAATGGTACAATATTGGGTGTCTTGGTTAATTTTTTGTCGGCTTTTCTAGACTCCGGACGATTCAGAGCTGGGCACATTTATTGAACTTTAAATATCTATTATGTGTTGTGTTTTTGGTTTGCTGTCACATTCACCCACATTGACCAATAAACAAGATATGAAAGATATGTTACTGAAGTAGCTATCGAATGCTTGTTAAATATGACAATATGTTGTCGGGGTCCTACAAATAACTCTACTATTAGATCTAATGAAGACAAAGTCACGTTACACTTATAATGACTGATACACTAATTTGATATTTAATAAATAATCATAATTTAGATCTCTAATAAAACTATAGAGTTAGAGGGTTATGTAATTTTGGTTTCGACCGTGCGAGACCCTCATGGTAAGTCAAGATCGTTAAACACCCCTGTAGTAGTTTAACACAATTTCAAACTATTGTGAAGATATGTATAAGATAAGATAAGATAAGATAAGATATTTTATTTCCAATTATGGGCCCCAAAGGGCATAAACATTACAACATCAATAATTTTTTCATAATACAATACAAACAATGAGATAAAAAAAAAAAGAAAGTTAAACGAGAACTATTTAAGTTCTTAAAGAATACGTAGATAAAGAATCTATAGTATGTTGTTTTTTTTTAATACTAATGCATTTTATTGCAAGTGTGGTTGATATAGATAACAAACAAGCAGCCCAAAAAGAAAAAAAGAAAAATAGATATCCACATATGTATAGTACACAAAAAGTTGTATAAAAGAAAATGTATAATATCCGTAAATGACACAGTAACCCAACAAATCAATAAAATCAGACCAGATGTTTGATTATTGTATTAAAGTCAGGTAAATAGAGGTATTTAGAAGGGATTTATTTTAATAATGTGTATAAAATATTCCTTCCGGAGCACCTGAGTCCCCCCCCCCCCCCCCCCCGGTTGTGAGAGGGGTTCGTGTTGCTCAGCATTTAGTTTTGTATGTAGGGGTTTGTAGACCGTCTTTTGTTCTTTTCGTCCTTTTTTGATTTTGTCATGGTTTTCTCAGACTTATGAGTTTTGTTGCTCTCTATGGAATATTAAGCCTTTTTTTGTATATGACTAAAACTTGCCAAAGCCTCTTTACATATCCGTATCGATAAATCGCCTCTATGCAATGGTAAAAACAAATCCAGGAGAGAGAGAGAAAAAAGTGGGGGAAATCACCTCTATTTAGTGCAAAGGATGTTTAAAGCAGACATTTAAAGTATGTCATTAGGCTTTCCTGAATTTGAAATCAGCTTTTTTATTAAATTTTGCTACCTTACCTCTATGCAATGGTAAAAACAAAACTACTAGAGAGAGAAAATGTGCAAAAAATCACTACTATTTCAAGCAAATATTTAAAATATGTCATCAATTAGGTTTCCCTTTATTTGAAAACAGCTTTTAAAATTTGTTATCTCACGCCTTCGCATTTTTAAAGTAAAAAAAATTAAGTATGATCTAATCAATTAAAAACAATTCTTCCCACTTGACAATATGTTGTACCAACAAAACACATGTATTGAGAGGATCGCACTTGTAAACAGGTATTACATGCAAGATAATACAGGGTGATATTGACTTGACTTAACATAAAATTTGTTCCCTATTGTTGCAGAATTATGTCTAATTGTAATTTTATGCAGTGGAATCGATTTGTCGTTAATGACTATTGTGATCAGAAATGGTTGTGTACTCCAGGTTAATGGCCACATATGTTGCGGGAACTGTCAACATCGTCATTAACATATGTTAACATACTTGATCATAATAAAACCTACAAGCGTTTTAACTTTTTATGTTAATTTTAACAGATAATTACTAATGTTGTAATTTTTATTGACAACATTTTTTTGGATAAATTCATTTGGTTTTGCATGACTATGACGGTAAGTTTTTAAATACCAGTTTTGAGATATTAGTTTTGTATTGGTATGTTTAAGGATGTTTTTGTAAAACATTTTTCTGAACATTTTTTCTTCACTAACAATGACAGTGGACTTTTTACAGCACATTAACAAACGGTGAATTATTTTTAAATTATTCTATTCTCATTTTTTTTTTATTATTCTATTCTCATTTTTTTTTCTCATAAAACGTTTTATATGCAATGTTCCTTCAATGGCCGATGCATCAGTTATAAATAAATAAATATCAATTAGTATCTTTCAAATCGGTGTTACGAGCCATCTTCAATTTGCTCTGTAATGCATGAGCTGTTCAGTTCATAATCGAAGGCCTTCCATTCCATCTACTGTCAAGAAGATCCTTCGATATATAGCATTTCACCAGTTTTTTTGTCTCGTTTACAGCCACTCGAATATAACTCATTTAAAAGACAAGCTACGAAAATCAATACGAATTTTAATCCATGCTCTTAGGGAAACAGGGACTGATAACCCAAACGGAGCATATGAGTTCATTTTTTCTTCTCTCGAGTTCGTGTTCCTCAATATTTGTATTATGTTGGGTTCGTGTTGTTCATTTTTTTGTTTTCTGTATTGTGTTTTGTGGACTCTTGTTCGTCTGTGTTTCCTTTTGTTCATGGTGTTGTATGTTCTGTTTCCCTTTTGTTTAAAAACAGTATTACTGCTTCATCAGTGCAAAACTTACATATAATTTTCTTCTATAGCAATATAAAATTTCTCGTGCAACATAACCAAACTTAGGGTGAAATGTTCTTTGTAAAGGTTGCTAAAGTCATCGTGCAATTTCACCGGTATTGCACTTCTGGAATACCGTTTGAAAATGGTGACTTTTACAGTTATCATTATGAAATTTCTGTAATTTCAAAAAGTTTTGTCGTACAATCAAAGAGTTATTGCCCGAATATTGATTGATAGTTGTCTCGCAGAATAATAATTTCAGTCTTAAGTTTTTTGCAATAAAATATTCTACTCGGGACTAAGACTAAATTACCAAAATATCACTACAATAACCATATACTGTACCGATAGTAAAATACAACGCTGGTATAGAGGTAAACTATGTTAATGTAAAACTGCGGTGACCTATAGTTGTTAACTTTTATGTCATTTTGGTCTCTGATGGAGAGTTGTCTCATTTGCAATCATACCACATCTTCTTATTTTTATAACATTAAATTTATAAATAATATTCTTACAACTATGTTTTTAGAGATGCCCTCTCTTCAAATGGAGGTTTGTGCAGGATGTCAACGTCCAATAGAGGACCGTTATCTGCTAAAAGTTCAGAACAATTACTGGCATGAGACCTGTATGATATGTGCAATTTGTCGTCTGCCTTTACAAGGCTCGTGCTTCATGAGAGATAGTGTTTTATACTGCCGAACAGACTACGAAAAGTAAGTTAAATTTTGTTTAGTATTAAAATGCTTTAATATTGCTGAATATATTGTCTTTGCATGAATGAGTTTAAAACATTATATCATATCATTATATGTGTTACATAGATATATTAGTAGATAAAGAATGAGAAAAGAAATGAGCATGATATCTTCTACACTCTCAAAAATTTCTTTGAAAAAAAATTACACTAAATATCTATACTCTTAAAATCTTATTTAGTGTCACTAACAAACTTTTTTTATTTTTTATGACAACTAAGCAAATTTTAATAAAAAAAAACAAAAAAACACCAATTTAACTATGGTTTCAATTTGATTTTCCGCAATTTTTAAGTGATATCACCCACTGAATCAATAATACTTTGTTTTCATTTAAACAATACCGTTCATTTTATTGAGATAAAATATTGATACTACCAAGGAAGAAATACTAGTATATTAATGCAGTGTAAGCAATAAAACGTTTTTTATCAGCACTTTGAAACGTTAAATGAACAGATGCATTGATTTTGAAAGAAAACAAAAAATAAAAGGTGGTTAGACAAAATGGTAAATTTGTAGAAAATTATCATTAATTCGAACTTAATAAAATTATGTTTTATACATGGTGAAACCTTCTGAAAGTAGTTAAGTAGTTATAAGAGCAGATTGATATCAAATATGAAATATTCAGATTTTTAGATTAGATGTATTATAAAATTCACAATTCACATTGCACCTGGGACATTGAACTTCTGGTGAAGATATGTTATAGACATTATACATTCACTTATTTTAGCCACACTCAGATTTTGTACAATTATTTTGTAGTTTGTCAACTTTTGTCAACTTTTTTTTTATCATGATAAAGAAATTGGTGTACTTTTAAAATTTTAATTTTTGTTAGATGTAAATTTAAATACCATTGCTTTACATCTGTTTACAGACATTGACTGACTAAGACCGTCGAAACTTTTAAATGTATTCCGCATGATGACGTATCAACTTAATTTTTTTTTTAAAGACACTTTCACCATCAAGGATGTATCTTTTTCTTTTGATCAATTCAACAATATGCAGACATGTTATTTAACTATTCTATTATCCTTAACTTGTTGTAATTTGAATAAACTATAGATTGAAAAATTACATAATTATTTTCAAATCTCTTAAGGATGATCCGTACGTCAATTATTACACGATAAAGTATATCCTTCTGAAACATGAAGATTTTTTAAAAATTAATGCAATTGTTTATTTGTCAGCTCTTTTGTCTAATTTTACGACAAAGGATATAAAAACCCCTGTGATGCACATCTCATAGACGGTAGTTACAGATTGTAATCACACTCTTGACGAAATACTTGAAAATCTGTATGATCCCCGTCCATGGCCATATCTCTACTAGAGAGATTTCAGTATATCTTGTATTTGAATGAAAACTTTTGTTTCCACATTTTCTCATGTCCTTTAAATATTTAAGACTTTCAGAATGATAGAAAGTGACATGTAAAGCGGTGCGTCATCGACCTTGTATATTGCACGAGTTTTAACATATCAGCGGTAAGGAGTCATCTGAAAGAATTTTATTCAAAAAACATTTATTCACTAAATCCAACCTTTTTATTTAATCTAGTCTGATCTTAGGGTCGAGATCATTTAAATCGATATTATATTGAAAAGTGACAACGCTCCTAGTTGATACGTTTTGCACATTTTAAAATAAAGATTTAAAGAGTTTAACAAATAAAAAAGAAATCGATTTATCGGATTATAACATTTTAAAATTTCCTTGTCCCTAGCAAATATAGACCTTTTATATTAATTGTTTTTGTCAATGCCAAAACAGACTGTAGATATTTGTTAAAACGTAGATGCCATTTAAGCAGTGCAACAATAGATGCACTTTCGTGTGTACATACAGGCAGTACCGAATGACATTTTAGATCAATTCCGAATGCTTATATAATTCAGGAGACATGGTTTTAAATTTATTATCAATATGTCGCATCGAGATTGTGTGACTGGTTCATGTTCAAAAATTAACGATAAAATCATTTCAAATTCGAGACAAATTTCTTGATACTCACATATATAAAAGTTTGTGGTTACTCTTTAAAATAATGCAAAAAATTTAAGACATAATTCTGTTATATTGTAATCTAACAAGCTATAATGACTGATTATAAAAATAAATGTAGATTTCTTATTGTCCGTTTTACAGTTTATCTGTAAAATATTTAAATTGTAAGGACAAATTTGTACAACGGTGACAATTTTATTACTTTATTGTTTTTATCGAGTGTCAAGTTGAAGTATATTATGTGTAAATATTTAGACCTTCCATGTCGGATGTGTCTCTACCAGACGACAGTTTTCTACAACTTCGCAGGTAGTAATTACTTTGCACCTGATTTGGTCTTCATGGGTTAACATATCTTAGATGAACAAGCCTTCATTTAAATACTTATTACTGCTGTTCCAACTCTAGATCCAAATTTTTTGTGAGCAACTTTTTCTTCAATGAAAAAAAATGGGGAGATGTGGTATGAATGCCAATGAGACAACTATCCAGTAGAGTTCAAAATGACGTGGACGTAAGCAACTATAGTTCACCGTACGGCCTTCAACAACGGGTAAAATCCATACCGTATAGTCAGTTATCTTAAGCTCAGTATAATTCCATAAATTATAGAATGAAAGTTTACAATAAAACTGGCTGAATAATGAATTTACCAGTTGAAATGAAATTTGTTATACTCTTGATGTTGAAGACTACCTTATCAATCAGAAAAAATTGTGAAATTATCCTACTAATAGTTTTTTTTTCAGAATTAGATATACTTTAACAATGTGAAGATTTATATTTAAACTAAAGTAGTATATCAAAGTTTAAAAAAAAACCGAATGAAGATCTACTTCATTTCTATGTCCATTATTTATAAGCAAAAGAGGCGGAATATATCAAAAGAGAGAACAAAAACTCTTTAGTCGAAGAGAAAAACGACAAAATCTTGGCAAAACGTATAAAAAGCGACGACAAGACAAACAACAGTCCACAAAACACTATACATAAAAGAAACCGGAAGCTGAACAACATAAACCCCACCACAAATCAGGGTTGGTCTCGGATGCTCCGGAAGGGTAAGCAGATCCTACTCCACATATGGTACCAGTTGTATTATAAAGTTTTCCATCACACTTTTTTAATGCACATATATAATCAATATTTAAGTAAATGATCGGTTATTGTTTATCATAAACCACCTGTCTTTATTGCTATTATGGCTGTTACTGTATGTATTGGTTTTTCATACGGAGCAGATTGCCCCGTTAAATATTATACTTCTTTCTCGTAGTATTTTTGCATTTGGTATATGATTATATATATAGGAATGAACTCTCTGTCCCTGTTTTTACAGTTTCGACAGAAGTGTTTTCGTCCTTTTAGACAATTCGTGTTTCTATTTATTTAAATAACTTAAGCCTATGTCTGTCAAATTGTTGATAACAATGCATTCATGAATCATTACGAATTCATGTAATTGATCATTTTTATAGGTTTTTAAAATTAATATTAATGTGTTAACAAAACATTTTTATGCAAATATTTTTGAATGTAATACATATTATTTGACCTTAGAAGTCCAAACTTAAGTCTGGCATAACAAAGAAATGACCTAATTGAAAGGGGAATTAACTCTTGGGTTACAAAGACTTATAAGAATGTAAGTAACTTTAACCAAACGACAACCTTCTAAACCGATTATTTGATTAAGAAGTACTTATGACTGCAAAAAGTGTATATATAAAAGATTAAATGACTTAAACTATTTTGGCTTTTAACGGTTACAGGTATTTAAGTATCAAAATGTCGAGTACATTGAAGTTAATCAAACATGAACTATTTCCCCTTGTTTCCTTCTATATATCATACAAAGCTTCTTTTTTTCTTTTCTTGCCTTTTTCTATTTAACCTTTTTGCTAAGTGAACTAAAATGGAGAGAAATGCGACTTCAACTTTTGACTACTACGTGTTACTAGAAAAGAAGCGAAAGATCAACAGGGTCTACAAATTGTAGCCTCAATATAAATATTTATAATTTCGAATAATTCAGTGCCCATTAGTCGATTAAAGGCCTCGATGGAGATGTGGTAGTTCGCGAAAAATAACGACATTAATTTTGAGTAGGAAAAAGAGACAAGTTTATTGTTTATTTGGTTTTGACAAGAGTCCATTTTAGTAAATGTAAAGTCCTTGTTTATGTTTTTAAAATCAATATTATGAATTCAAAGCAAATAATAAAGTTAACCGAAGTATGCCACTGGAACTCTACATTTCACACCTGAACATGTCAACGGCAAAATTAGAAATCATAAAAATATTGTTATACAATCCATTTAATATTTCCTCAAATGTAGTAGTTTTGTAACGGTGTAGTTCAATACGTATCAATATTTAGAAACTCAATTTGTCATTAAAATGGAACAAGACATAACCTGCACATGCGATTCCCAAAAAGTTAGCCTCTACTACGGTTTGAAGCGAAGAAACGTCTCTCTATACTATTATCAAAATCTCCCTGTCGATTTCTAGAAGTAACAATTTAAGTATAGCTTTAAAAAATATCTAACATATAATTACCATAGCGGAATGGGACGGGACAGGGAAAAAACCCTTAGCCCGATTACGCCTTAAAAAAGTGTTGAAAATTATATTCAGTTCAAACTTTAAAAAGATGGTAAAAACTTAAGATAATGTTTGGGACCATTGTGTCTTTTGACAAGGTCATGTTTTCTGCTTCCCTGTACACTCTTTTGCCTGATAAGACCACCACTCATGAGAAAGTTCCGCTCCTATGTGATGTCGATTCCAAGATGAAATTGCAGAAACTCATATATGACGAATGTCACCCATCTCCTTTTATTTCTGTAAGTTTCTTCTTAAAAACAACTTGATTTTATAGTAACAGTTCGGTGTTATTTAATAAAATGAAAGGAAAATATATATGTTTGTT